TTGTATCCAGCAAATCCTGAATGTTTTCAGTGGTGTCTAAAGGAGCTGAGGGCTCCCCAGGCCCATTGCTATTCCCAGTTTCTCCTTCGTTGCTCCCCTGAGCACTACTGGTGCACACTAGTGGTCCCCAATCTCCACTGGCTGTTATTGACTTTTATGGAAATTCTTTCTTCTGCAGCCTTGTGACCCAAATACCAACACAAGCAGTTTTAATTTTACTAGGCTCATACCCACCCTCGCAGTTCCCGTAATCCCTAGTTTGGGGCCTGCTAGTATAAATATTGCCTATGACCTGTCAGGTAGTGCATCGTGTTAATATAAACAGTGCCTCAAGGTTTAACTAGGCAGTGCCAGCTACATCTACAGTTGGCCCAGCTTTTTCCATCTCTCATTTCAAATGGCATGGTGACACTTGCTCCTCTTTGGGAGAGATTCTCTTGTAATGGCATCAACTAAATAAGTCTATAAAACCCGGAAACTTTGAATACACAAGGACTGTTTCTCCAGAAATCAGCATTAATGCAAATCCTTGACACGAGCCCCATAACACTGTCATATATGTTATTACTACCAGCTGGAGCACGCATTCCTTGGGCAGCACTGGAGAGCCATGACCACTGTTGAGCTGAAACACAGAAAAGGCTGAGAGATGTTCTTCGGATGGGCTAGTACATACCCAAACAGCTCCTGCCTTTGCTCAGAAATTACAACACGCTGTTCCCCAGCTGTTTGTGTTTCAGCTCCTCTTGAAATGCAGAGAAAAAGAAATAAATTGGCCAAAAATAACCTGAACAAAACTACCAAGGAAGGATGGATTTCAGCTTCTCTGGAGGCCTTAGCAACAGCAGAGGTGGTTAAAAGAGAGAGCAGCATCTCTTTTCTCCCTCTCCTGGAGAGACAGGAGGAGAGGATGGAGGGATACCCTCGCCCAGGGCTACCCCGGAGCTGCAGGGCTGTGACTCAGCACAACCCTGGAGGGGACAGAAGAGCTAAAATGAGGAGGAAAACACCAGCCAAGTGCTTTGTACCACAGCAGATCCCTGAGGTCCCGTGTGATTCGGCAGCTGCAGCACATTACCCATTGCTGTCCCAGTGCTCTGAGTCATGCCGAGCCTCAGATGGCCCCAGAAAAGGGACAGAAGGCTAAAAATCCCTCCCTAGTGTGACTGTCATGCACAGTCAAACCAGCCACTGAGCACTTGTGGTGGTCTTTTTATACATGATGTATTGCTCCGTGCTCATGCTAACCTAGCATGAGTTTTTCGAGATGTTGGTCCTGGAGAAGAGCTGTCTTCCAGCCCCAGCCACAGGATACACACAAGGTAAAATAAAATACTCAGTGCAATCTAATATAATTTAACTTCCAGGATTGCTTCCACATCCAGTTTAGTCTGAAAATCAAGACTGGCACAGTTTAAATCTTCTTTTGCGCAATGAAAAAGATGTCACTCAAAATTTATGTTTCCCTCCGCAGGATTTCCTGTGTGATAAACTAACCAGGGCTTGTCCTCCACCGCTCCTCCTTCCTCTCTCCTCTTCTTGCTTGGGATGTGGTTCAAACAGGCAGAGAATACAGCCATTATAAGACAAAATAGAAAGCCACGGGATGCAATAATTCAGGTTTTAATACATGTTTAAATTGGGGGTTTGATTTAGAAGGGAAATGAAGACGCAGCTTGGTGGAAGGATCATTCGGCTTGCTTGGGTCCTTGCTCCACTCCCCAGCCCTGGGCTGATCCATGGGTTTGGCACCTCATTTGCTCAAATGTGGGAAATATCAGAAGTTCATGGAGCAGCCCTGCTCCTATTAAAACCACATTGAATTAATTAGAAGTGAGGGATGGGTCTGGGTTTATTTTTAATTCAAAAAATAGATGCAGGAAATCTCCAGCCTCACAAACACCATCCTGGACAGACACCCCCATCACACATTGGGTCAAATCCTTCCCCTGCAGTGCTCAGCTCCAGCAGGCTGACCTGCCCCATCTTAGTCCACCAAAGAAACCCCCGTGTCAAGCCTTTAATGATGGAGAACGTGTCCTAGGAGCTGACAACAAGAATAAAATATCATTTTGGCAGCCACTTTGCCCAGCATTTGTTTCACAACTCATCCGTTTTGATAGGCATGTCCTCAGGGAGGCACAAGACAGCAGCAAAAGGCACCAGGTAACCGGGAGCAAAGGAAATTTTCATTCTGTATTAGACGAAAGTTAACACATTCTTGCGTTTCATATTCATCCCTGGGGAGGGGACCCAACAGGGCAGGATTGCCACCCTAAATCTGCTTGATCCCATGTATGATAAAATTGAGCCATGGAGATTAAGGGTGACAAATACAGGTCAGGGTCTCCTAATCTGCGTGGCAGGACCTGGCGGCACAGAACCGCACAGTGTGCTACCCAGCTGGGATTTCCAAATCAGACCAGAAGTGTCTCCAATGCACTTAGCTATGTGTTTAATAGAGTTTTAATTGCAGAGTGATTGCATGTGATATTACCGAATTACCACAGATTACTTAATTGACTATTCGTTTGCTGAGGTTAAGCAGATATTTCTCTCAATATGTGTTTTTGCTGCTATAGATCCTTGCCTCCATATTATTTGGCACAGTACTGTCTGAGCAACAGAAGCAGAGATCCTTTACGAGGAGAAAACCACTTTCATTTAATGTGTTGGTAAATTTAACAGGCAGATGTCCAAGACTCTTAAAATTGGCTGTAGAAAGAATCCAGATCCTGCTGTTCTGAAAGAGCTGCATGCAGGGGTAAGCAGCTGGGAAGTGCCACTGCATGGAGGTTTCTGCAAAAATTGTGATGTGCACAAATGAACTTGTGTTGGAAGCTGCTTTCACAGCCTGAAAATCCAGCTAATCCTGTACAGGCACTGGGAAAGCGGATGGACTGGAGCGGTGATGTTGGCTCATTCCTGTTGGCCCGATGCTGATGGATGGAGCGGGAGAGGCTGGAGAGTATTGCTTCTCCTGTGTCCCCCCAGAGGGATCTCCTGGGGAGTCATGGGTGGACTGCTCCATGCAGGGCAAACCAAAGGTCCATCTGACAGACAAATTAATTTCTGGAGGTGGCCAAAAGCAGGTGCACAGAAATGTGAAAGAGCAAGGCAGGCATCCAGTGCTCCATCCAAGCTTCCCAGTGGACCTCCCCACTTCTCCTGTGCCATGTGTCATTTAGGGGCTGTCCCCATCAAAGTCCCAGCAAAGCCCCTCAGGGCAGGATCAGACAGAGGTCAAATTCATTCACCTGATGGCATCTGAAGAGCTGCAGGCCGTCTAGTGATGAATTACATCTGGGATCACAATGACCATATAGCAGCCAAAAAAATTCAGATTGAAATAATGAAGTCATTTGGACAAGAGAATGAAAACAGACCCTCTAGCCTTCTTTCCAAAACATGTCCCTTCAGTTGCCTAAAACTTTATTGAATAAATGGTTTTTGCAGCATTCCTAGAAGATGCTCTCATACACCATGCAGGCTCATGCTAAAATAATATAACCATCTCCATTGTTAGTTATACGTTTCATTTAATAAAAAAGATAGCACATGGAGTTAAAGTAAGGCTATCGGTATGGAGCTGGACACCAGGAATTATTTAATTTCTGTACAAATTAGGCAGTGACTCTGCTAGTGATGACACCCACAAAAAGAGGGCACAGACACTTCCCTCCCCATCGTGTTACTGAAGCCTCCCCTGCACCTCTTGGCTGAGTAACGGTGATGGGGAGATGCACCTGCAGCCAGACTTGCTCCTCGTGGACCACATTTTTCAAGGGAAACAAATCATCTGCATATCTCCTCTATGAGCTATGGTATAGTCCCTGTCGGATGACAGCACCTGGGTTTGGGACATTTCCACATAAATATTTTCAATCCCAAAGCAGAAGGAAAAACAGCCTTTGCCTCCACGTGCCAAATCTCCATTGCACTGGTGGTGCATAGCTCTGTAAGAGAGCTTTGCTGCTTCCTAGCCCTTTACAGGTCACATAAAGGACAAGAGTGATGCGGCCCTTGTTCTCTGTAGAGCAAATTTCGGATAAAAAATTAACATAATTATTTTATTTAGCCTTGAGTTTCTTCTTGCCTTTTATTGTGTTATGTTTTAACTGAGATTTCTTTATTTCCTGCTAGGATTCTGCCAGAATCCTGTCATTTCATACAGAGGTTGAAATGCATATTACAAAAGGAAACAAATCTTTCCCTTGATTGTCTGATATATCTACTTTTTAATCTAGATGGACAAATGCACTCTACCAAGAGCACTTTTATCCTTCAGAGTTGTTGCGTTTTATTCTCCATTGTTTGATGTCGCTTGGCTAGAATCTGGAAAGGAAAAAACAACATATCATCTTTCTCTGCTTACCCTTTAATTAATCATTTTTATTATGGCAACGTCCAGACCCAAGTGTCTTGTAATCACTGTCTCAGGTATTGCACAAATGTAGAGCAAAAGGACAAGCCCTGCCACCAGAAAGCAGCTCCTGAGGCTGTTTAATGATCCCCAGCACCGTGGGGACTGCGGCCAGTGGCTCCGTGTAACAAACTAATGGGATTATAGTGTCCCTGGCTCCCTGTCTACCTGGATGAAAAACATACATTTACTGTCTCTGCAAGTACTTTGGACAAAATACCCGGTGCCACAAGGGCATGAAACACAAGGACAGATGCAAATGTAGTTTTATTTAAGCCAGCGTCTGAACTAGGCATCAGCAGTCCTTTATCTGTATCGTACCTTCTTTTGTTCATAATGTCACTGCCCCTGCGCTTATTCCTATTTTCTTTTATTTCTGTTATGCTTGTTTTTACAGCCATTTGCAGGCTGGTTGTCCCTCAGGGTTATTAATTCTTTGCACAACAGCAATAGAAGAACAAAGTGGGGCTTTAGGAAAACAGTTTACAGCAATAAACACCACACAGACAGGTCCCTTTCTCATCCCTGATGAAGAATTGCTCACAAAAAGTAATGGGCTTTTTTTCATACCTTGCAGGTGCTGTGGTGATTGCCTTCGTGGTCTGTTGGCTCCCTTATCACATACGGCGTCTCATGTTTTGCTATGTCCCCTCCAGTCACTGGACAGAGTGAGTCACGATCTGGGGGACGAGGTTCCTCCATGGGTAGAGGATCCAGGATTTGGCGGGGAGTCAGGCTGGAGCTGGGGCTGCCGGGGCACCAGCAGACTGGGGGATGGAGGTGGGGATCTGGGAGCAACGGCGTTCTCCACACAAGGGGTTAAAGCCTCAACCTCCTAATTGTTGTTCTGTTTTTTTTCTTTTGGATTTCTTACCATGTTTGCCAGTCAAATTAAGAGTCCTCATTTTATCATCTACATCCCCCAGATGTGGGTGAAGGAAGCATTAGCTTGAACCGAAATGCATCCTCAGCCCCTCCTTCTTCTGTGGCTGCAACCACAGACTCGCCCCCGCTAACAACGGCGATGGATATTCACCTCTGACAGTCCTTGATGAAATGACATTTGGACAGGGAGGTTTTATACATCCGAAGCAGGTTGCTGTCTCCATGGCTGAGTTATTGATCACCAGCCCTGAGATGGAGCGGCTCCTGTCAACACAAAATTTAGCTCCACGACGCCACATTTCCTTAGTGACAGGCGAGATTACACAGGTGGGGAAAGAACTGTGCTGCTTACTGAGCCTGGGGCAGGTTATTTACTGGGTTTTGCAGGGAGTGGATCAAAATTAAATACTAGCAGTTGCCACTGATCAGAAAACGCCCAGATTCTCAGAGAATTTAGGAATAATTGCACGCCTATGCTGAACGCACGTGCGCTGTTCACATGTGCAAGGGCACACAAGCAGCTCCGTGCAGCCTTTCTGCCGCGTCAGGCCAGGCTCCTCAGCAAAGCAACCGCAGAACTGATTATTCATTTTAAACAAGCAATTAAGCACTAATGCTGTCTGGGGATACACACCCAGGTAGCCTGAGATGCCATGTGAAAAATGTCTTTCCTCCCAGGGTGTTACATCCCTGTTCTCTCTGGGACCAGGTCTCTTTCCTGCAATGAACAGGAAAAGAAAAAAAATCTACAATACCAAAAAGCAGAGTAACTACGAGACATTAACATTTCATAAACTCCAAATGCAAAAAAATAGTAATTTATGATATAGCAGTCTACTGAATAGAATTGTACATCCATCCATAGTAGAAACCAAAACCTATCTTCAGTCATGAAAACAGAGCTCTAGGCACACTCTGGGACAAACCGTTGTTTCTTGTTTGCCTTCCTATATGAAAAGCACTTAAAGCAGCAATCAATTATCTAACGACTCCAATTGCTTTGAGCAAGAAGAGTACAGAAGTCTGTCTGCAGTTAGTGTGAATTTATGCATTGTGGTTGCATTCATGTATTTTTTTTCTTCTTTTAAAAGCCACAAGCAATTTCAGGAAAACTTTGAATTTACAGGCATGTTAGGAATGGTGAACTATTGGTATGATAGCTAATCAAGGGCTTGCAGCAGCTTGACGTGTTCATTTATAAATGCATGTGCCTGCCCCTGAAGAAGAGAAAATTTTGCTATATTAATTCTTCACAACTACATAGAGAAACTCTGCTTGTAAGAGCTGGATGGGCCATGCAGTACTTGGCAGTGCTGAGGGGGTGTGGAGGGATTGGTGATGTACTCCAGCACACGTCTATTTGTCTTTTGTTAGACAGTGCTCAGACTAACAAAAAGGTCTGCAATTTCCACTGAGATAAATGATCCTGGGGAACGTCTTCCTGAAAATGAGACCCATGTTGTTTATAAACGCTTTACCAGCTCAGAGCTGTTGATCTCAGTTGTCCCAAGGAAAGATATTTCCAAAAGAAAAAAAAAAAAATAACTAAGTATTTTCAACCAATTCTGGTTGAAAACATGACATTGTGATGGTCAGGATATGTTTCAAAAGCATGCTGTCATCAACTTGCCCCAGAATAGAGAATGCTATCCCAGATTGCAGACAAATCCCAACCCAGGGACCCATTGAATGAGCCGATGCGGCTCTCACTGCCGGGGGGAGGAGAGAGCTGCATCTGTTACCAAGTCTTGGCTCTTCCACAGGCTCTGTAGATCAGAACTGCAGCCAGAAAAGTCAAGCTGATGTATATGCATGACACAGAAACAAATTTCCATCTGGCTTCTCAGTTTCCAGATGCCTATTTTCGAAGACAAAATGAACGCACAAGGTAAATATCGCATCCGGACCCAGGGCATAAGTAAGTTTCTAACTGCTAGTGATTGGGGTAAGACCTTGGTAGAGGCATTTCACCTACATTTGGCCAGTCCTGGTTGAAAACATAGATGCTTTCCTGGTGGCTCATGCACCATTGGTAAGCTCATGTCCCCAAACAAGAAGGGTTAGCTGAAAAAACAGCTCATGTTTTTCTCACTCTTGTGACTTTGAATTACTTCAGTTCTCCACACTCTACTTAGCTTTTTATCTTTCATCTGTTCTTCCAGTTTCCTTTTCAACTTCTACCACTACTTCTACATGCTGACAAATGTCCTCTTCTACGTCAGTTCGGCAATCAACCCCATCCTCTACAACCTGGTGTCTGCAAACTTCCGACAGATCTTCCTCTCTACACTCACACTCCTGTGCCTGCCATGGAGGAAGAAGAAGAAACGACTGGCCTTCACCAGGAAATCCAACAGCATCTCCAGCAACCACACATTTTCCAGCCAGGTCACAAGGGAAACTACATACTGAAGCCAAAGGAGAAAGGGAAATGCATTTCATCACGGAGTCAAAACTTGAGAGAGGCCTCTGTGACTTTCATGCATGGTCTCCAAATTCATGTAACACAAATGTGTTTAGCAAAGTCATTTTTGTTGGAAAAATAGGCTTCGTTCTGCCAGTAACTTCGAGGTTATTTTAAAGCATTGGCCTTGTCTCTTGTGAGTAATGTCTACATGTTTTGTAACTTCAGTCTGGCATAAATCCAGATGCGGTGTTAACTGGGAAGCCAAAGTATGTTAAACTTAGGCAATATCATACTGCATTTCATCCTTTTCTCAATGCAGAGATGCCATGATCACATCCAAGGGTTTGAGATCATGTCTTTTGGTGGCACCGAGCAGAAACTCTGATGAGGAGAAAGCAGTTGTGAACAGAAAGGGACGTTTTTGGAGAATGGACATGCTTATCTATGGGATGTCCAATGAACGAGGAGTGAAAACTCAGGGAGCCGGGTGGTTATTTTAGAAATATATCTACATTATAAGTAATATGACCTAGGTGCTCAAGAGAGCCGCTCTGGCTCCTTGAAATTAAATAACAACAGATGATGCCTTACCTAGGTTGGGGTGGCTGTGGCCTGGGTGAATGGGGGTCATCTTTCACTTTAGGGCATGTATGGTACCTGGCACAGTGAAAACCCTCTCTTGCTGGTATTGGTACTGCAGCACCAGTAAATAACAAAATCTCTGGTAAAGTCAAGAATGCAGAAACTGTGCCCAGCTAGAGTGCTGAAAATGAACAGAAATGGAAAATCTTACTTTTGCCATACAGCCAATTCCTATTTTATACCAGGGAGAACAGTTAGCTGGCCTGCACTAAGAGGTGAGAAAACTCCAGGCTCATGAGGGCTTTAGGCTGCTGAGATAAGAGCAACCTGCCGCAATTCTGTGGGACTCTCAGATTTTTCCCATTCTTATTCCAGTTTTACTTGCTTCCTCACCATTTTCCCAAGGCTGATGCCTCATAGGTTATATCAATTGTAAGCAGCAGGGCCTCTTGTTCTACCTTTTCTTTTATTTCTTTTTGCTACCAGACCTGTTGACACACCGATCTGCACACAGAAATCTTCAGGTAGTGCAAATGAAGAACACAAGAAGGTCTAAACTGGGGAGTCTTAGCTCTAAAACAACTTTCTTTTAACAAGCCAGAGGAACAGAAACAAGGCCTGAAAATTCTCTGTGAAATTTCTCAGCTGATCAGGATAGGTAGCATGAGGTTTTTGCCCATATGGTTCCACCTCTAACAGCCTACTATGTGATGAGGCAAATTGCTCCAGAGCCTTTAGCATCAGAAATCACAGCCCTTTGGGATAAGCTAAAGGGCTTTCCCTGCTGTCACATCACCAGAAGGTGACCTGCATGAACCTGGAACCAACCAGCCATCCTGTGTAAGCTCTGCTGTGATTTTGCTGGTGGTGACCTTGTGTCCCCTTTCACACCACACTTCGTTAGAAGAGCAGGGCTTGCCTCTTTACGATGACAAACTAAAAGAGTCACTTGGCTCAGTTCTGCTTTCTGGGCTTTGCCCATCCCATGTCACTCTTCAACTAAAGAGCACCCTTGGTACCTAACAGAAGTCTCAATGTAGGAGATGTGGATCTGGCCCCAGTGAACCGTCACACAATGATGGATACCAGTCACTGATCCACTGGGTACCAGTGACTTCTCCTCCTATGGATGTGGTATCATACAACCATAGAATCACAGAATATCTCAAGTTGGAAGGGAGTCACAAGGATCATCGAGTCCAACTCCCTGGACTTGTGGTTTAGGTCCTATTGGGCTCAGGACACAGAGAAAACACCTGTGGGGCATTTGCTGTGAGTCGTTACTGATAGCTCTCTACTTCTGAGGCATTTATAACCTGGCAGTTGTACAGAGCTAGCTACCATGGTAGACCTGGCTACCATCTGCCATGACCTCCAACCACATCTACGAGGGATGAGAGATTATTTTAATGCCTAGTACAGAACCATTCCAAAAGAAAGGGCTCAGAATAGAAATCAGTGGAGCTTTCGTTTCTTCTGATTCAGCCAAACTACAGGCTCTGTCCTGTCATGCCTTCTTTTAATTTCTTGCCCTGGTTGTACCAAACAGAGGGCAGAGATTATATTTGACAAAGCGCTTTCATTGCTCATGCACGGTTGACTCCTCTCTGGCAAGAAAAACAGGGAATGGCACACACCAAAAAAAAAAAAAAAAAAGGGCAAAAAGGAAATCAGCAAATGTTATCTCTGTGTGTGTTAGAAATGGCTTGGGCAGGTTGGAAGAAAAAGATCTGGAAGACCTGTACGTCCTGCCTTGTGGGAAAGTCCAGGTATGATGGGCAGAGGAAGAGGAGTCTTAATGTCACACACTTAATAATGGCCTTCGAGGCAAGACACTTTACATGTTTCTGGAGAGGACCCAAATTTTTTAACTTCACCTCTAAACAGAGTCAACAGCTGGGAGGTGGTTTCTGAAACCTCCCATGGAAGCTATAACTGTGTGTTGCTTTGACTTTCGTTAGGATTTAACATCCTGCGTGTCTCAGTTGCTTTTGAAATGTTAAACATTACTAATATACTTGTTCAACACCGACCTGCTGAAATGTGCTTGATTATCTTAGAAAACACTGTACAAAAATTGTTGTTTCACATAAGATGCTTGGCTTAGATTTTTATTACCAAGATACACTGGCAGCTTACAGAATATTTGATCACAGCTCAGAGAAACTGGTAGGGTTATTTTTGGTTTTACATGAAAATGGGAACAAGCTGGAGTAAAAATGAATTTATCATAAACTCTTTCAATAATGTTTGTTGGGCCACTCGAGTCCTGAAGAGCTGACTATTTGGGGGGATTTATCCAAGCGGTTTGCTGGCTTCTACAGCTCTGTTCCTGCAGTTTAACATGGGAGCAGACATGAGTCTATGGCCTTACTCTGAGATTGCAGCTCAAAGCTACCTCTTCCATCGGCCAAATCTGACTACCTTGAGCTGAGAAGTGTAAGTTACAGCTGATTTCATCCTCTCTCCCCTCCTCACCTAGTTTTGCTGTATTTGACCTAGGGATTTAGTTCCCTTGAGCTCAAAGAAGTGAGGATCACTCACTGCAAGACTCCATGGTTTTGTAAATGAAAGCACAATACCGTAGAGAAGAAAAAGGTACAAACTGCCCAGTATGTACCAGAAAAATGGTTCTTTCCATGCCTTTTAACGACGGCTGAACTACTAACCCAACAAGGTTTAGCTTTAAACCTAATCGAGCATAAGTGGCTTTTGCCATTAGACAAAACGCATCCTCCCATCCTTTGTATTCCTGTCTTGTCTGAACTCTCCGCTGGGGCAGAGAGCTGAGCGTCGGTGCGGAATGCTGTTAATCTATGCAAATTTCCTATAAATGTTTTGAGCTGTTTGTTTCAACCAAAAAAAAAATCTGTTGAACCCACAGATGTGAAGTGCTGCCAGATGGATTCTGAGAAATTCCCATCTGAAGAGAGTCTATCAAGTGACCTCTTCAAATATTATTTTGAGGTTTTGTTTCTCTTCACAGCGTTCTTGTCAGGGCCATCCATTTGGCAGCGTGTGAAATCAGATTTACAAAGTCATTACGCTATTCGGAAATTTCCCCCAGACAGGACTTTCTCACCAAAGGCCCAGTACACATCAGTGTTTGAACACTCCGCTGAGCTCGTCTTTTTTTGTAAAGTGCACGAGACCTCACTTCAGCAACTGCGCCCGTAAAGGAGAAAACTCAATGGAAATGTCAGCGAGGCGAGTTAGCAGGACACGTGCTAAAAACATGACAATAGCAGGACCTTTGCATTTATAGAATCAAACGTTTAGTGAAATAAAACCCAAGGCGTGCCGTTGCTGCAGACAGCTCGTGGTGCAGGTTTGAACCCATCACCTGTGCGGCTGCCATCGCTGCCTGCCCTCGGGGAGGGACACAGGGACACAGGGCAGGACAGCGCGGGAGCTTCCCTGTGCATCGCGAGCATTAGTCTGGTATCTTCCTGGTTGTGGTGTTTGGTAGCTGTTTAAACAAAGCCGTATCTGCTAGAGCTCTGTCTGGTTCTTAACATTACAGCTCCACAAGTTCTTCTGTTCTCAGCCTGGATTTGTTTCGTACAAAAACAGAAATTGCTAATCCAAAGTTTCATGATGCTGTGTCCTGGCTTCGTGATCAAAAGTCCTTCCCCAGCCGTGCCACCTGATAATCCTGCACATACTGTATTTATGGCAAATATTTTTTAAAGTGCACCTTTTTTTTTTTCTGAAATACAAAATGTTGATGTGCTTTATTTTCTGTGGCCTGTTGTGCAATGGGAAAAAAAAAAAAAAAAAAGAATGTTAAAAGCGTGTCAGTGTCTCCTTTGCAATATTTTCTGTGACAAAGGGAAGGAAGAGGGTGTGAAATCCTTTTGTGTAGCAATGGGAAACATTCTTTCAATGTAACATGCTATTATTGATACTGTATTTACTGATCAAACTGTAACGAAATGACTTCCTTGTATAGCCTTTGTACTGTATGGTATTTTATTTTATTTTATTTTGTCATTTATTGATCCTAAGAAATAAATATCCAAATTTAATGCTTGGGCTGGTTATGCTTGAAATGTCAGCTGTGCCTTTATCATACAGCCTGCTTACCAGCACAGGCTATCTGCTTGTGGTCTAAACTGGTGAAATCCCATTGACCTTGAACTGACCTTCGCACCTCCTCTGCCAAAGGGCCCCCACGTGCTCCTCTCCCACAGCCGGCAAGCGCTGGCTATTTGGCACAAACACAGCATCCAAACATCAGCTGCTGCTCGTGGCCACAACAGAGCAAACAAACGGGTGGGAAAGACTAGCTAGGTCTGAAGGAGACTCCCAAAAGTGAAGTTTGCCCTGAGAAATCCCTCCTGAGACCTGGAAAAACCAAAGGGGGTCTGTGCTGGGTTACAGCCCCGCTGTGCTGTTAGGAGCAGCAACGGAGAGGATCCAGCTCCTGCTGGTTGAATCCCTGGGCTTTAAGCGTGTGGCACCCACAAACCTGAAGGATGGGACTGGAGATCTTCTGGGCTTCACGAAAGACCTGTGCTGCACAGGGGGCAGCTGCTGGGTTGGGGTCCAGCTGGCACTA